GGTGGTGGCGGCACCAGAGTACCTCATTCTGACTCTGCTGCGCTTCTCGTACGATGCCACCTGCCACGTCCGTCGCAAGATCCTGGACAATGTAGGCATTCCACCTCACATGAGCCTGCCTTTACGCCAGCATGGTATCTCCGTTTTATCATCTTCCTCCTCTGACTCCCCCGAGAGTGGTGAGAATCTAGCTAAGAAGCTCAAGCCTTCTCAGAAGGAGGATGGGATGATGGGAAACAGAACAAATAGTGAGTCAAATGACAGTGATTCGGAAATGCTGTCAGTGCCGTATGTTTTGGGTTCTGTTGTAGTGCATTCTGGGATGTCCTCTGAGAGCGGTCACTACTACTCGTATGGAAGGAATGGGAGTAGCACTGATGGTTATGTAGCTCACCCAAGTTCTAAGACCCTGGAAAGCTCCAGCCTATCAGAGAGCTCGACAGCCTCACAGGAGGAAATGGGATGCGCTGACCACAAGTCCACCGACTGGTTCTTGTTTAATGACAGCCGAGTGACTTTTACAAACTTTGAGTCATTGCGGAACGTCACCGGGCGCTTCCCTAAGGACACAGCCTATGTCCTGATTTACAGGAAACAAGAGGTCAGTGGACAACCAAGCAATTCTGGGCCAGCTGTAAATGGCTCAAGACTGAGTGGAGAGCCGCCCCTGCAGAAGGAGCTGATGGATGCCATTACCAAAGACAACAAACTCTTCCTACAGGTGGGAATATTGTACTTTGTCTGTGGTGCTCTTTTATGCTCTCCAAGAAAATAGCCTAAGATGCTGACATGGCATTAAACAAAAATATACTACTACTACTATTATACTGCATTTATATAGGCTGCATTTTTTAAAATCAAAATACAATTAATAAAGGTAATGTTCTGAAATACTGTTTCAATTTAAAATAACAGTTTTAAACATTTTAATATGTTTAAAAATATATTTTATTCCTGTGATGGCAAAGCTGAATTTTTAGCAGCCATTACACCAGTTTTCAGTGTCACATGATCTTCGGAAATCATAATATGCTGATTTTGATGCTCAAGGAACATTACTTATTATTATCGGTGTTGAAAACATTTGCACTACTTCATATTTTTGTGGAAACTATACTAGAAAGTTCAAATGAACAGCACTTATTTAAAACATTTTTTGTAACTGTAAAATATTTTACAGTAGATTTAATGCATCTTTGATGAATAAAGGTATTAACAAAATTAATTTTAACAAATTCGAATGAAAACTTAAAGTAATATGGTACAAAAACATGAAGGGGGAAAAACATAGGACATTAAATTATTTTATAAAACCTTATGGCTCTTTGTAAAGTTCAATACATCTCTTAAAATATCAGATAGTTTACATTTTAAGCTTTGTTGAATATATTAAGATATACTCTTACTTTTTCAAGGTGTAATGACATTTTTTTATTGTTATTCCACATGACATTTTCAAATAAAAGTTGTCAAAAATGTTTTTTTCAATGAAATGTGGAACGTTTTCCTTTATCTCTTATTTGTCATGGATTTAACCCTTCATTTCTTTTCCTTCCAGGAGCAGGAGCTGAATGCCAGAGCTCGAGCTCTTCAAGCAACCGCTGCTTCTTGCTCATTCCGACCCAATGGTTCTGATGACAACGAGCCTCCTGGCAGCTGTGGGCCCTCAGGTGGGGGTGGAGGAGGCGGCTTCAATACCATCAGCAGACTCGTCTTCTAAGGAAGGGTCACAGACATAGCCTCAGAGTACTGGACAGTCCCACTGACAACACCGGACTGTGTTTTTTTTTGTCCTGATTGCCCACAATATGGATAAGTGTGCCACCTCAGAACAGATGTGTCTTAATTTTTCTGGTTTGCATGCTTTTACCCTTTCCATTGACGTTCATTTGAAATTAATTGAAGCATTTGAGTACTATAGGTCAGAAATGGGCAGGCAATAAATTTGTACAGAATACAGTAATAATTACTGTCTCATTCTGGAATCTTAATTGTTTCATTTTCTAAACAAAAATCATTAGGCAGAGAATGGTTTTAAAAATTAAAGCAAATATTTTTGGACCATACTATACAGTGAACTACTTGCATTAATATTTTAATTGGAAGTTTTTCAACTTCTGGTTTGAGGATTACAGTTATATCTGTTTTGTCAATTATTTAATTACAATTAAGTTATTTTATTCATTCAGGGGATACTTTTTTGATTGAACTTTTTAAATTTTGAAGTTTTTTTTAAGTTAATTTTATGTTTCTTTTAATACTTCAGATTTTACACAATTATTGGACTAGCCTCACAAAAAAAAAAAAAATCTTGCTGTACAGTGTTAATATGTAATAATTATGGTTTTGCTCTATAGTAAAGACTCTTAACTACTGGTTAAAACATTTGAAAAGACTGTGCCTATTTTATTTCAAGGTTAGGGATATAATTACAGTATGAAAGCTCAGTGTTATATAAAAAAGCTGAAATTTCTGTTTTTAGTGTTCAGTTACAATAAGTCACATTTGATTTCAGTACAGATGCATTGATACATTTTCATTACTTTAAAAATTATGAAATAAAACATTTCCATTTTTCATTTTTGTTTAGTTTATGTAAATCTTAAAAACTATATAGACATATGTGACCATGGACCACAAAACCAGTCATAAGGGTCAATTTCTTGAAATTAAGAGTTATAGACCATCTGAAAGCTGAATAAATAAGCTTTCCATCGATGTTTGGTTTGTTATGATAGGACAATATTTGGCCGAGATACAACTATTTGAATATCTGGAATCTTGAGGGTGCAAAAAAATAAAAATACTGAGAAAATTGCCTTTAAAGTTGTCCAAATGAAGTGCTTAGCAATGCATATTACTAATCAAAAATTCAGTTTTGATATATTTACAGTAGGAAATTTACAAAATATCTTTGTGGAACATGATCTTTACTTAATATCCTAATGATTTTTGGCATAAAGGAAAAATCGATAATTTTGACCCATACAATGTTTTTTTTGGCTATTGCTACAAATATACCCCAGCGACTTAAGACTGGTTTTGTGGTCCAGGGTCACATATTAAAAAAAAAAAAAAAAGTTATAAAAATGACAAAAATATCAAAATTATTATAACTTCAAAATTAAAATGAAAACAAAATAGAAACAAACTATAGTAATATATAAATTGGTTTATACTGAACTCCAAAGCAACAATTAAAACAAGTGCTATTTCAGTGAATATTCTATGGTTCTAAGACAATAATCAAGTTGAGGTCTGTTTTGACTATCAGAGCATGAGACCTTTGTTAGTCACCTCGTGGCTATCAATACATAAGTCCACCCCCAACATCCCAGTGTCCTCAGTTTGAACCACTGCACTCCTGTCCTTTGGTGAACCCTAAAACAATCTGTTTTTGAGCATGAAGTTGTGCATTAGCTTAGAATAGACACTTAAGGCTGCGGTGAAGCACTCCTTAGATGTGCATTTCTAAATTGGAGAACTAATACATGTAGCAAAGTTGGCTTTGTGGTTTTCAAATGTGGGCACCTTTAGTTCTTCAATCCCCCCAGAGCCATTAGCTTTATAACAGTGTTGCACCACTCGCACAGTCTCTAAAACCATTTGGTAAAATCAATGACTCTGAATTATTCAACAACTGATATCTACACATGTCTTTGCTACAGTTTAGGCCACTCCCACTGACACTTTATTCTGTAACATGGAAATTGTTATAATGTTATAATACTGTAATAATCATCCTTGGGTTTGTTTAGATCAATAATGGAAGAAAACAACCAAGGTGTTGATTGTAAATTATGTCGTAGACAAAGATACTTAATATAAATTATAGACACAACCTGAAATCACAAGATGAAAGATTATAGGATAATAAACTGACTAAATCAATCCTTTGCACTGAGCTGCAAATCACAGCAGAGAGTAGGCACAAAGCTTCAGAGATAACCAGTAAGCCGTTTAGCATTACAATAACATTCCAAAGATACCAATCCCACAAACATGAACATTCTTTACTGAAAGAAACTGTTCACTTTTCATCATTATAATGGTAATTATCAGCGATATAAACTTTAGTACCTATGCTTTTTAGTGTTTAAACTGTCTGCATTTCTCCATTTTTATAAATATGTAGGCCTGTGTAAAGTAAACTCCTGTATAAAAAACTCAGTTAGCTATTACATGTCAGCATCATTGATTTTGACAATTCTGGTAGGTATGTGTAGTCTGTATCAAGACGTTCGCTTGTAACGTACTATGTTTTAATTGGAAGCCTATGTCGGACTCTTTTCTGCGATTCGGTTCTTTCGAACAGTTAATTTAAAGATTCAGTTCAGAAGCAAATTCGGTGATTCTTTTACGTACTGACGTAATTACGTCATCATGTGTTGAATATTACGTTTAATAAAGCCAAATCTAGACACGCCTGGCTGTTCATTACTTTTTGGGCTTTATTAATGGCGGTGTTTACTGCAATGTTCACTTCAGTTTATTGCAGCATGATTCAACACACAAAAATATAAACGTATATATATATACATATATAAAAATAATTTAGTGCCTAAATATATTTTGCTGTCACATTAAACAACACAAACATGTTTAGATTTCTTTAAAAAAAAAGGTTTTAGCAGACAAGATACTAATTATAGGAAAGGTATTATAAAAAAATATATATTTATAATAATAATCATATAAATGACCGATTGTGACTGTTTTACAACTCCTTCAGAGTGAGTTTGTGAACCGGCTCAGTCGAATCATTAAAACGATCAGACTCAAAAGAACAACACTACTTTATGATCGCAGTCTTAATCCGGACTCAAGCAAGTTTTATTTGGGACGCGGCTGAGAGATTTGTTTACACCGATTCTTTGAGCCACCGTCCAAGTGTTTTCCCTCTGACGGGGCAACACTCCAAGACTACACTTCCCATGATGTAATGCTCTTTATTCTCCGTCTTGGCCGACTTCTCCCTGCCTCCACAGGCCAGAGGAGGCTGAGTTTAGGGAAAGTATCGACGTTTATGCTTGTCAATCAGCAGGAGCCGTGGGGAGTGAAACTGGAGGGAAGGTCGACGATCGGGACGGATTTCTAGTCCAAAAAGCACTTCAGTGCTAATGCGACCATAATGTTTTGGAAAAATAAGGAAAAACTATATATATTTTCAAGGAAACTGTTTTGGTTTACTTTGAAATAAGGTAATCAAGCAAAGCTTTCACTACGCCGAACTTGGCGAGTATCACTCGCTGCCTCGTTGCATTTCAGCTGGAAAACAGCGGATTATTTACACAGACAAAGTGTGTAAACTAAAAGAGGGCTCAACTACAGACGGCTATTGCTGTGTTTGATATATTCCTTTCGCCAGAAGAGAGGACTTCATCCAGAGGAGTTTGTGTCGCTGTCGGGAAGCTCTTCCCTGTGGACGTGCTGGAAACCAGGAGGAGTGACGGTATTTGTGTTTGTTTTAATAAACGCACTGAAAACACTTGGGCTCAATTTCCACCTCATATTTTGGGACTTTGGTTTCATATGTTGCAGGTTGGAACACGAAACTTAAAGCGCGTATTTTCCTGGAAGGTAAGAAGAAAATGAGCGGAGGAGAGGTGGTGTACACGGGGTGGCTCAGAAAGTCTCCACCTGAAAAGAAGTTACGGCGTTATGTAAGTAACGTTTTAATCTTATTCAAATGCACTGACAGTGTTGTAACCGCAGGACTGTTGGGGCAAGATTCATGCAAATTTAGAGTACGACTTCCAACAACCGCAGGTCAATCACTGCTCGCGATCTGTCGGTTAAGGCTTTTTTTTTTCGTTCAAAAAATGCTGACGATCCAGGAATAGTTTGAAAACGGGATCAGTTCCTCAAAAATGTGTGATTGAGTGTATGAACGCTGTGTGTGTGTTCATAGCACTGAAATGGTTGTGAAATTCGCATGTGCAAAATCCTTATTTGTGGCGTCTTGATCGGTTCTTTAGGACACACCTACCGGTGTTGGGAGATAACTTTTTTTTGTTTGTTTGTTTTTTAAAGGAGCATTAAGTATTTTTTTTCTGATTAAAAGATTTACACTCACATTAAGAGCATTTTTGAGAAATATCACTTAATGTACACTATGAGACTCTCACATGCCAGTTTTGTAGAAAAGGCTGTTTTTTTTCTACATGGAGTGGGTCGCCCCCTCATGGGCTGCGCCATGTTGACATCACATGACATAATTGATCAAGGTACGAATAATAATAACAACAAAAATCATGTTTGCTTAATATAGCACTTTTAGCTAGAGGTTAGGGTGTAAACACACAAGTAGGCCTGCATATAAATAGTTACAAGCGCAAACAGAACACAAGGATGGTCACTCACAGCAGACAGAGAACTTGTGGTAGTCTGGTCAGTGAGGTGCAGCAGCTAGCCACCAATAACATGCCAAGAATCTTTGGAATTGAATCCAAGAATGTCCATAAGTGGATGCATGTTGTATGAGATGGGAGAAACATAGACAAAAAGGAACAAAACAAAGTGTAAGAAACAGAACAAACTTAATGCATCCATTGCAATAGGAGTCAGTACAAGTCCAAAGTGTCTGGTACAGTTGGAAACGATAAGAGCCAGCTGTGCATAAACCTTAGTGATGCTTATTGTTTTAATGGAATGTGGCTTGACCCGCAGAGACACCACTATCATACATCTCAATCTAAACATGTTTATGTTCAGTTAACTCATGCAAAAGTTGTTAGCAACATTCTTTTATGCAAGAAACTGTGACAGTAATTTATTTGCAGTAGGCATGGCTCTTTTGAAATCTAATGACAACTTTTAAGTGTGGTTCAAGCCGAAAGCTATTGTTTATATGCATCAAGGTTGCAGAAAACCGTGCTGGTATGGATAGATTAAATTGGAATTTATTTTAATGATATCATTTGCACTGCTTGCACCAATGATCATTACATTGAAGGCTGGTTCCTTGATCTGTGTATTTTGAGTGTTTTGTATTAAATATATTGTCACCTTACATTTGCAAGAATTTCAAGGTTTTTCTATATGAAATGCTTTTGTTTGCTGCTACTTTAGTTGCCAAGACAACTGAACCCCTAACTCTCCATTCTGTCTGCACAGGATGACTCAATGCATTTAGTCATTCAGACATTGTATGTGTACCATGGGGTCTTCCCTTCCTCTTAGTGGTAATATACACCAATAATCTGTAATGAAATCACTCACTTACAGCTCTGCCTGCTATCGAGCCCCAACCAAACATGTTAGAAATCTCCTTCAGGCTCATGTGATGCTTTTTTTTTATTGGATTCCTTTAATCTGGTATAGCTCTGCTAGGAACATTGCTATTGAATTCATGTTTTATCTCATTGTGCAATCAGTAACACGGTTTAGACTCAAACAGCCAAGTATTTGGCATATTTTGCCATTGTTTAGAAGGAACATTCGAATGGCAACTATTGCATTTGGCCTTGTATGCACAGGCCTGAGAGACGGGGTGTGATTTCACATGCTTTGGGCTTCCAGAGTAAACGGTAGTCTGTTGAATGTGATGAACAATGTTTCATGGCTCCAAATCTAATTAAAATGATTTCTGAGCTCATCCAAACAATGTTATAATAAGATTAGATCCAGGAAAGAACAAGTGCTTTGTTGTAACATACAATGTTCTCACAAGTAATTTTTAGATTTCCTCTTGCTTGAGACACGTTTAAGCAAAGTGATTGTGGAGAAAAGCCTTTGTAGTTGTTTAGTTGGTTTTTAGAGTGAGATGAGAAACTTCCTTCCCCTTTATCCCTCCTTTCTTGTTGCAATAAGTTTACAGTCTAGGTTTGCTGTAGTTTTGAAGTGCCGTCCTCAACATTAGTCTCAGTCTGTTTTCTGGTGCATGAAGGTGGAGTTGTCTCAGTGTTTCACATGTGGCTGATTAGGACCAGACTGTTTTTATTGGAGCCGGGTGGCTACTAAAATACTTCTCCTCAAGAGGAGCCCCATGCCAGGTGTACGGGCCTATTAGTGATTCTATATCTGTTTTTGACCAGTTCTGCATTGATCAACATCAATTTTAGATACATATTGCAATTCCTTATACTGTGATTGCACTGAGAAACTTCAGATAACCCTGTCATTTTTGTTTGCTTCAGATGACTTGTAGACATCCTCCAAAAATGTACACTACCATTCAAAAATTTGAGGTTGGTAAGAGTTTTTTTTTTTTTTAAGAAATTGAGAAAGAAATGTTTCTCAAGCAGCAAATCAGCATATTCGAATGATTTCTGAAGGATCATGTGACTGATGAAAATGGCTGCTAAAAATTCAGTTTTGCACAATAGAGAACTGTTTTTTAAAATTGTAATGTTGTTTCACAATATTAATTTTTTAGCAAATAAATGCAGCCTTGGCCAGCATAAAACTTTAAAAGCATTACAAAATCGTGCTGACCTCAAATGTTTGAACAGTAGTGTTTGTTGTTCTAAATCCATTGTTTATTAGCCCTCATTCTGTTCCCTCTTATGTCTAAACCAAATGGAGCTCTTCTTGAGTCTTTAAAATAGTTTTAGGTAGCTTATGTCCTATTCATGATTGGAACACTTCTGAAAAATCAGAAAAGACATGCAACCAGCAGCCTCAGAACAGGATCCACTCTGTTGTTTTATAATTAAAAAGATGACTATCATTTGCATCTGAACCAGCTGGAAATTTGAATGCTTTGAACATGTTATGTAATCATTACAGTGGAAATGACACAATAGCACTTCGTTTCATTATATGAAAGATCTGAGATTGTGTCTAGCTTCTCACGAGAAGTTTTTGCATTTTATATTCTAAATCATACTGTTATAAGGACTAAAAGAAAACAGTAGATCAGCTGATTTTTCTGAAATTCATTGCACGTTCTCTGAATCCTCTAGTGCTGGAAAGCTTTAATAGGGTCAAAAGTCTGATGTGTTTTTGACGGTTTGGCAACGGTTCAAGAGCAGAGCAGATCATTTGACTCGACTGTTTAAAGGGAATGTTCTTGATGGCTCAAAGAGCACAGTGCTTTACTGAGGGTCGTCTCAGACAAGTAACTAGCTACTATAACAGAAGTATAATAAAGGGGGCTACCTGAGTATAAAAAGTTATTTATTTTTTTTTTGGCCTGTCCATGCGAGACATGTGACTGGTGGCATCAGAAGATCATAAGTTATTACTCCCCACAATAGCCACACCATATTCCTCAAACTGGACTATGACGTGAGTTAAAAATGTCCCGGTCGGCTCATTTTTTTAGTGTCTTAGCATTTTCTATTTGGCCTCATCCTCTCTTCATTGTAAACTTCTTCTTTCACACCCTTCTCATAATGCTTGGAGAGACTAATTGTGAAAGAGCCAAATGAAGTTGGGAACACATGTACGGTACAGTAATGTGGCAACTCCGATTAAAGCCTGGAGTGTTAATGCTCACTTCTGCTATTGAGACTATTTCATCTCATGTGATTTCTTACATGGAGCTCATCTAGATTGTACTTGCTTATGTATATTTCTATTTTTTAAGGTCAATTTCTGTTTAAAATGTTATTGTGTGTTTTCAAAAACACTTACAATATTCACTTTTAAAGGATATGCGTATTTAATCAATTAAAACCAATCAAACGTTCTTGAAAATCAGAATGTCACTCCCCTTTATCTAGTAGCCAATCATTGTTCATGTAACTTAAACCTACTGGCTAATTAAAAATATAGGGTTTAGTGCTGTCAGGTCGATTAATTGAGATTAATCGTGATTAATTGCATCCAAAATAAAAATTTTTTGATTACATAATATATATGTGTGTGTGTGTGTGTGTGTGTAGGGCTGCACGATAAATCGAAATGGAATCGAAATCGCGATTCGACAGAAGCTGCGATTGTCATGCATATCTTTCAGTGAAGCACGGTTCTGTGATCAGCAGTAAATCTCCATCCAAAGGCCAGAGGGCGCTCTCGCGCTGAAACTCCAAATACGCCTCGCAGAAGAAACCCAGGAAATGCCTATCGCTGCAGCTGAATAAACAGAAGATTCAACTGCTTTCATTGATTCAACGTGACTAATAAACACACGATTATGACAATATATGGTTTATCTGAGTTATTATTATTATAAATTTAATTAAAATAAAGTATACTTATAATGCAATGCCTTTATCACTGCTTAAACATTTACTGCTGATTACAGAACCGGCTTTACTAACAAAATGCGCATGACAATCGCATTCGATTAATCGTGCAGCCCTATGTGTGTGTACTGTGTACTCTGTACTTTATATGTATATATAAATATACATACATGTATGTATTTAAGAAATATTTATATGTGTATATATTTAAGAAATATTTACATGTATGTATTTTCATATTCATATTTATATATGATTTGTTATATATTACATATATTTCTTAAATATGTATGTGTTTATTTATGTATACATATAAATGTGCATAGTACACACACATATATTATTAATCGATTTGACAGTACTAGTAGATATATATATTAAAATTCTTGGCCAAAACCAATAAGCCAGATCATTTTCATGTTATGACTGATAAGTAATAATATTAAAACTATATACAGTTTTGCCTGAATAAATTAAAAACAAAATGCTGAAAACTAAAATCAGTCATTTGAAATGCTACAAGTAAACCT